TCCCCCTTCCTTCTTCCTCCTTCCTCCTTCTCCTTCCTTCCTCCTTCCTTCTTCCCTTCCTTCCTCCTTCCTTCCTTCACTCCTACCTTCTTCTTCCCCCTTTCTTCCTACCTTCCTTCCTTCCTTCTCTTTCCTTCTTCCTTCCGCTCCTTCCTTCCCTCTTTCCTACCTTCCTTCACTCTTTCCTTCCTACCCTTCTTCCTACCTTCCTTCCCCCTTCCTTCCTTCCTTCCTTCCTTCCTTCCTGCACGCCTTCCTTCCCTTTTTCCTACCTTCCTACCTTTCTTCACTCCTCCTTCCTACTCTTCTTCCTATCTTCCTTCCTTCCCTCTTTCCTACCCTCCCTTCCCTCCCTCCCTCCGATAGCCCGGCAGCACCTTCTTCCCGTCCGCCTTCCAGCAATGCTTCAGGACCCTGGACAGCACCCGGGAAACCGAAATCACCCAAAGAGAGCGAGGGAGAAACCCAAGAGCGGCGCGCTGGCCCTCCTCCTCCTGCTCCTCCTCCTCCTCCTGCTCCCCGCTCTGCTCTGCTTCCCGGGCAAACGCCTCTGCTCCTGAAGACGCCCCCAGGGCCTCTCGCGGATGCAGCGGGAGCCACCAACCCGGGCTGCAAACAGGCTGGAGGAGGGCAGAGCAGGGGAGGGGAAGAGGGCGGCACGGACTCCTGCTCCGGTCTCCTCCGGGGAGAAGAAGGGGAGGAGGGATAAACAAGGAGGTTGGGAGAGGAGGAGGCACGGCAGGGAAGCGGGGAAGAGCCCTCTGCCCCAGGATCCCTCCCCACTGACGGAAGCCGGGTGGGAACAGTGCAATCCTCTGTGGAGGTCATCACATCTGTACAACCACACTGTGGAAGGGTTGCAGTCTGACACTACTTCAACCAGATTTTATGGTAGCACCCTGCGAGTTGGAGTTGTACAAGGCCTTTCACCTTCTCTGATACACTGGGGACTCAACAAACTGCCAATCCCATCATTCCACAGCCTTGAGCGATGGCAGTTGTGATGGTGTCAAACTAGCAGGGATTCTACCACGTAGAATGCAACCAAGGGCGTCTCCTTCTGCTTAACCAGAGCTCTAGGGTGGTTGCTTTTGAAACGTTTTCTCGAATCGCACAAAGATGCGCCCGAATCGATCAGTGTGGATGCGGCAAAGGGCAAAGGGCAGCCTGGTGCCCTCATAAAGTAGGTCAGCCCTAGCACAGGGGAGGGAGGAACCCCTGACAGCAAGGCAGATGCAAGGACCAAGCCCATGGCCTCCGCAGGAAGAAGGGGCGGGGGGGGGGGAGAGAATCCCGACCAGGATATATACAAGGGACTAAACGGGCCGCTTTCGGGGTTTCCTTTCCTTCCCCGCTTTGGGTCGTGTGTGTCCCCACCCCACCCCCCACTTAGTGGCCCTTTGCATCCCATCACTCTCCCCCTATAGTTGTAAGTGTGAGAAGAAGGGAAAGGCATCACAGCACGTCCTGTTATGTAACTATAAGTTTGTTTCTGAGGCATTCAAAAATGGGATTTGCATTTAATGCGCTTTCTTGGAATGAGGACAAAACATTAAATTAGAAAAAAAGGGAGACAATATGGAAGGCCGGATTAATACAAATCCTAACTTATAATTTAAAAGACATTTCTTCTTCTTCAAGAAGGTAACTGACACAACTACTAGACTTGCCAAAATGTACAAAGGTACAACACAAACACACACACACACACACACACACATAGAGGGGAATGTGGAAGATCCAACTAGAATTGGAAGTATTTTTTAAAGGACAGGTAAAGCCACTGACCCTAAAGTGTTAGACCACATGAAGTTGAATAAATGACAAAAATTTAGACCATTAAAAAAAAGAATGAGCAGAAGGAGACTTATCTACTACTAGAGTTGTGAGCTGCATCCCCTAAACTAATGTATCCCAACCGCCCCAATGCCACGACCTCTTAATACAGTTCCTTATGTTGTGGTGACCCCCAAACATAAGATTATTTTCGTTGCTACTTCATAACTGTTATTTTGCTACTGTTATGAATCGTAATATAAATATCTGATATGCAGGATGTATTTTCATTCACTGGACTAAATTTGTCACAAATACCCCATATGCCCAAATTTGAATATTGGTGGGGTTGGAGTGTGGGGAATTGATTTTGTCATTTGGGAATGGTAGTTGCTGGGATTTGTAGTTAACTGCAATCAAAGAGCATTCTGAACTCCACTAACAATGGAATTGAACCAAACTTGGCACACAGGACTCCCATGACTAACAGAAAATACTGGAAGGGTTTGATGAGCATTGACCTTGAGTTTTGGAGCTGTAGTTCACCTACATCCAGAGAGCACTGTAGACTCAAGCAGTGATGGATCTGGAGCAAACTTGGCACAAATACTCAATATGCCCAAATGTGATCACTGGTGGAGTTTGGGAAAATCGATCTTGACATTTGAGAGCTGTGGTTGCTGGGATTTATAGTTCAGCTACAATCAAAGAGCATTCTGAACTCCACCAACAATAGAATTAGGCCAAGCTTTCCACACAGAACCGCCATGTCTTGAAGGGATTCTCTGCTGCAAGTCTCCCTCCAGTCTTGCATGTTCTCCCTCGCTCACACATTAGCACCACACTGCCGTGCTCCAAGCATACCTGCTCTCCCTCCCCACTTGGAGTCTCAGAATCAACCTTCCCATTGGCTGAGAGGGCAGCTGAGAGGCCAGCCAATCACAGCAGAAGGAGGGCTTTTGGTGGGAGTATTTCACCACCTGTTTCCAAAAAGGAAGAGAAGGACAGGTGGAGAGATCTCCAGCCTTCTCTGCCAAAGGGGTTCCTAAGACATTCAGACATTCAGAAATATATGTTTTCTGATTTGGCAAGCCCTCTGAAAACACCTTGCGACCCCCCAGGGGCCCAGGTTGAGAAACACTGTCCCAAGCCATTGCTGTTCACCTAGTTTCCTTACTTGGCCCAATAATACTTACATAATACACTAGCCTACTTCTTCTTGGGCATGTCTACACTGTAGAATGAATGCAGTTTGAAATCACTCTAACTCCCATGGCTCAATACTGTTATAGTTGTAAAACTATAACTCCCAAAATTCAGTAGGATTGAGTTATGGCAGTTAAAGTGGTACCAAACTGCATTCATTTTACAGTGTAGACCCCCCCCCCAAAAAAAAACAAAAAACAAAAACCTCATCATAGGCTTATGGTGGACATTTCAGAAAGCACAAGTCTTTGGCCTGGTCTATGCTGTTGGGGGAAACTGGCCCAAAAATTATTTTCTCAATTACACAGTGGAGATTCCTTAATCATATCTGTGTTTTAAACTGCAAAGGGCCCTTGATATTGGGTGAGGTTTGGATACCAAAATCTGTGGATGCTCGTCCCATTATATACATACAATGGTGTCTCAAGTGTAAACTGGCAAAATCAAGATTACATTTTGGAATTAGCAAATCATATTTTCAGGCAATTGAAGCAGTGGGTGCAGAATCCATGGATACAGAGGGACAACTATAAACCACCACCATTTTAACTATAGAGCCCCCAGTGGCCAATGGGTTAAACCCTTGTGCTGGCCACTGACCGAAAGGTCAGTGGTTCGAATCTAGGGAGCGGGGTGAGCTCCCATTTCTCAGCTACAGTTTCTCATGTGGTGATATGAGAGAAACCTCCCACAGGATGGTAAAACATCAGAGTGACCTCTGGGCAATGTCCTTGTAGATGGCCAGTTTCTTAAGTCACTCCTGACTTGAAAAAAAACAACCCAAAACTATAGATCATGCTGAATTTGGTTGATGCATGCTTAAGAGTTAAAGTTTCCATAGCTTTGGCAAGCATTGGAGTCTGTACCCAAACAACAGAAGAGCAACAGAGACAAAAGGGCCTTTGAGAATATATAACCAATTCATCGTTCTTGATAAAACTCTTTGGGATAGAGAAAAGCCATAAATATTTAATCTGCAGGACGAAATTCTGGAATTTGGTTTCAGAAGTAGAGGTCCAGGCTTTAATTTGTACTGGAACTAAGTGTTTCTGAAGATGTACAGACTGCCTTCCTAATCTTATTAAAAGTTGTTTACACATAACTCCAGTATGTACACAAAACGAGAGCAGTGAAATGCAACGACAAGCCTTGACTGCAAGCCCTTACAAGAGGGATAGCCTTGAACGGGAACTGGGGACTGCTGAGTACAGATTCACCCCTGCCTGGTTCATCCCATTTTGAATTTTTAATAACTGTAGTGAATGAATCACGAGCAAAGAATGTCAGTGTCAAAATTTTAGGGCACAGCCACAGATGTGTATGGCACAGATGTCATGGCAAGTGAAGGCACTGGAGATTGCTTCTATTTTTCATAGGCATATAGGGATATGTCAGGATCTTCTGTATGAGAGTCAGTGAAGTCAAGCCTACGCAGCTGGGATTTGGCTGAGGCAGAAAACACAAATGACAGGAAGGATGGAGTATCACCACCTCTCCTTTAGGGGAAAAAGTGTTCCAGAAGCAGCATATTTCTGAATTCAAAATGCTGAAAGCTGCTGTGTCCATGACCTGCTAGGGAACTTCTCAGAAGCTTTTGTCTGACCAAAATGTTTTCCTAGAGATAATGAAATGTCACAATTGCATTTTTGATCTGGGCACCCCAGCTGTGGAAGTACCTGGCTCCTAATCATATTTTTTAGTGCCAAATGAAAACCTTTATTGTATCTAAGCTTTTAAATCCAACATATATTTATTTCTTAGTGCTTCTGAGACTTTGTTGTTGTTGATCTTATTAATATTGAATTTATTCTGTTTTATAGCAGTGCTTCATTGTTACTGTTTAGCTTTTGGACATTGTTGCGATACATACTGCAATAATAACAATAATCATTACTATTAACTATAAATTGACAAACTAGTCATGATGACTAATTTATTTTTAGACTTGTGCTGGTACACATACAACCACCCTGCTAAAAAAAAAAACCCAGATGGTTGTCTATAGAAGTGGTACTCACATCTCTAGGCTGTTTGGGGAAATGTCCATGTTTCCTGAATGCTGCTTCTTTGCATTTTGAGCATCTCATAGGCACCGAGGAGAGGTAGCTGTGCAAAGCCAGCTCTGCCAAGAGGCCTCCTAGCAAGGCGTCGAGCGGAGCTACAGCCGCTGCTTCCCTCCAGAGCACACTACCTGTTTGGAAGGGTGAGACCTTAGAGAAAGGGGCAGCTGGCAGGGTTCGAAGTAGCAAGCGGCAGGGTGTGGGTTGGAAGATTGACCTAGAGAAGGCTGAGAAACTGGGAAGAAAGTCAGAGAAGGACTGAAGAATCTGGAGAGTGGTGTGACAGCAAGGAAGGGCAGAAGTAAGGGAAAAGAGAGGGAGAGAAATACAAAAACAGGCATTACCATAGTTAACCAATCCGAATGAAGCAGTTATATTTTAGGTCTGGATCAGCATAGAGTGCTATGGTAGACCTATAGCTCTGTCAAATTAAAAGGCTGCAGTATCTTTACTCACTAGCCCTATCCTCTAAATTGTTGTGCCCACCCATAATGAGACTTGAATTACACTATTGGTTGTTGGTTTTGACTCTTGTTTTATATATTGTTATAATGTTGTTTTTATGTTGTTTTTATTGATGTTATGCATTTTAATGTGTTACATTATAACTCTGTTGATTTGGCTTGGCCCCATGTAAGCTGCCCCGAGTCCCTTCGGGGAGATAGAGGTGGAGTATAAAAATAAAGTTGTTGTTGTTGTTTTTGTTGTTGTTATTATTATTATTATTATTGTCAGTCAAATTATTTGTTTAAGTAAGAAAGCAATGGACCATGCAATATTGGGTACATTCACACTGTAAAATTAAAATAGTTTGACACCACTTTAATTGCACTATGGAATCCTTGGAGATGTTTGGGGAGGCAGTAATACTCTGTCAGAGAAGGCTAAAGACCTTGCATAACTACAGTTCCCATGATTTCATATCATTGATCCATGGAAATTCAAGTGGGGCCTGTTGACAATATGGATCGAGAGATCGAGAGATATTTGCATGGCACTTCTTCCTGTTATTAGATACTGCTTTAGCAGCAAAAGTTCAGAAAAAAAATATCGAGAAAAAAGCAGTAACTAAATGGCCAGCTCATGGGATTGTGCATCTAAGATTATTTGAATGTCACTTCTGTATTGGTTCTTCATCATTATTATCATCATCAGCTAATATCTTAATGTGGCAAAGTACAAATATGGATATGAAAGAATATCCATGGAATCATATTTCACTGAAAACCATAAAAAAGTTCCATGTTGACAAAATAAACATTGCCTTAATGGCAATATAACTACTCGATGGCAGTATAAACATATGCTGGGTAACTGTGAGAAGGGAAAGGCATCACACAGTGTTATATAACTGTTTGTCTCAGAGACATTTCAAAATGGGATTTGCATTCAATACTCCTTTTCTTCATAAGCTACAGCCCATCACCTGCCTCTCTTTCTCTCCAGACTGCTTCTTTCTAATGCAAAATGCATTGCTCCCTGGGAATGACTTGAGAAAAGACATAATGACAACTGATGATATAACTCTGGAAGAACCTTTGATGAACAATAAGATCTCTCTCGCAGTGAGAGACACTTCAGGAAAGGAAATTTCATCTGCTGTCTGAGAAATTAATTGGATGTTCCATATTGTCAAATAGATTCCAGCTATGTTTGGCATTTGTGTGCCACAAAGCAACACATTTTTCTCTCCACACTTTCAGTTTTCCTTTGGGGACCAAAAAACAAAAAACAAAACCCAAAACAAATGTGGGTGGCAAGGAAATAACAATAAAAAACACCTTATAGCAATATACAATGAATGATGTTGATTTAAAGGATCATGCAATATCCTTCAAAAGCATAAAAATAAAAACATTTCTTCCAAGAAAAAAATAAGAATATACCATTTTATATATATTTACTGCTAAAAAGCACCACAAAATAAAATAAAAATTCAAACTAAGGGATAATTTGTGTGGTATCAGGGGCTCTTTCACATCACACATTAAACTACAATTTGTATCTTGATTGTTTCTATAGAATCCGAGAATTGGAAGTCTATTCACACTATAGAATTAGTGCACTATTATCCTATTTTAAGTGTCATGGTTCTGTCCAATGAAATCCTGAAATTTAGACTGGAACATTTAGGACTCTCAGCCAAAGAACTCCAGTGCCTCACTAGACCAGAAAACCTAGTATTATGCAGGATGCACCATGAGATTTGAGTGAAATAATAGTGTTATAATTTTAGCCAGGGAGTACCCCATCTGTCAGGGATACTTTGACTGTGCTTTTCTGCATGGCAGGGGGTTGGACTAGAAGGCACATATGGTCTCTTCCAACTCTATGATTCTATGATTCTAGTGTTAAATGGCCTCATATGAAGAAATCTCAGTACCTAAAACTGCCTAGGATTATGCACTGGTATTTCTGTATTCTTTTGGTCTGTCCATTCTTTGTATTCTATTACCTCATTCATTTCAATTATTTTAAATTACTGTTTCATTTATTGCTCATTTTCACTTAATCTTATTTGCATATCAATCAAAATGGAAGCTCAGCCTTTTGGGTTTTCCTTGGCTCCACCAGGGACATCAGTACTTTGGCATTTGCATTTAACCTGCAAGCACTATGGCATTTCCTTTGAGTCATCACATCAGCCAAGCTCAGTCCAAGTGGAAATCCCCATTTGTTAATTAAATAGAAAGGCATAGTGTTTTCTAAACTTCCAATTTCAAATTGTGGTGTTGTCTGTGCATTGTGTGTTCTGCTTTTCCAATCAAACAAGGCTGTGTCTGTATACCATTCTTGATTGACATGTTCATCTAGGTGTGCCAGATTATTTGATTACTACAATTCTGAATGATCAAACACATCCAAGATTAAATATACAGACAAGGCTCTGTCTGTATGCCATTCTTGATTGACATATTCATCTTGGGTTGCCGGATTTAACTTTTTCTGGAGGTTTTTAAGCAGATGACCAGCTGCCAGGTGTGCTTTGATTCTGTATTTCTGCATGGCAGGGGGTTAGACTGGATGACCCTGGGGTCTCTTCTAACTCTATGATTCTATTATTGCAACTAGAAGGAAATTAGTATGCTACAAAATAAGTAATCACCTATTTTTCTATTGGTAGTGAAAGTTGAATGTAATATTTGAAGTGACTCTCAACAACCACACACATATCTGTTTCCCTTCACTCTCTGAGCAGTAATTCCCCTCAACCCCAAATGGAAGGCAATTCTACTCAAATGGTTTAATAAACCCAAAACTAAAAGGAATTGGAAACAAACATTTCCCACCTCACAGTGTGCAATCAAAAGTGTGCACAGAGCTCCATAATGGCTCAATTAAAGTAAGTCAAAGAATAATGAGAGGAAATATCTCTTCCAGGCTTTCTCTCACTAATGCACATACTCAAGTAGCTGTAGAACAGAAGAATGAGAAAAATATCTCACCTCCCTGAGCAGCATATAAAAAGCATGTGAAACCATAGACCTCTCAATGTTTTCTATCTCCACCTTGTTATCTGGTACAACTTACATACAAGTAACAGAGAAAAAACAAGAAACAGGAAAATATCGAGCAATTTTAGTGACATAATAAACCAACCGTTCCACCCACCCATTCCAATTCATCACCTGCAGTTTCAAAAAATAATTCATAATGTTCTTGTCACAGATTGGAAGCTGGTTCATCTACTCCACTGCAAACCCTGCCCCACCAAACCACATGGCAACTTGCACTGAAATAAAAGTCCAAAAACATTCATTATGCTCAAGAAATGCCAGACTTTCAAGACAAAATAACCATGTTTGGAACCCATTTGGCCCAATGTGATTCCAGTATAGACCTGTTTTGGATTGGGTGAAATCCAACCAACAGATTCTGGAGCTCGAGTTACTACCCACAATAGTAATGACAAAGAAACATGGTTGCAAAACAGATTCCAAACCCTTATCCTCATGTAGTCAAAATGACACCATCTAAACATCTAAAACACAACAGTGAGGATCTAGTATGCATAGTTGGCAGAGAATGTCAAGAGATGGAGTGAAAGGAGAGGAAAGCAAAAAGACAATTGAATGGAATGTCGGGGGAAAAGGGCTGGGAGAAAGGAAGCAGATGTTTCATTTGTATTTTGAAATCTGTTTTCTTTGTATTTGATAAATAGCCTTGTAATGAAGAGTCCTGTGTTCCTCAGAGCCTTAATATAATAATAGTATTTCATAAAGAAAGGTAATTGGAAAAGGAACATCAGTATGTGATTGTAGATGAGAGCTTTCTATTTGGTTCACTGTGATCTCAAAAGAGAATCGGAAGTTTTCATTATGGCTGTAATTCTCAGCACAGTTAGGGTGGGAAGTAAACATCGCTGAATGCAAGGGAAATGCAGTGAATGGATCTGATACACATAGGAGGCTGTTTCCCAGATGTTCTAAGCCTCTCAGGGTTCAAAAGAGCCAAAGAAAAATTCTGTACACATTGCAAGGAACAACAACAAGATGTACCAATATCTAATAGATTAGAGTTGTATCAGCAGGAATTCAACAAACTCTTGGAGGATAGGCCATGTTCTAGAAGCATTCTCTCTTGATGTTTTGCCTGCATGTATGGTAGGCATCCACAGAGATTGTGATCTCACAACCTCTGAGGATGCCTGCCATAGATACAGGCAAAACATCAGGAGACAATGCTTCTAGAATATGGCCATATAGCCCAAAAAACCTACAACAATCAAGGTCTCTTTTCATAGTAATCTATTAAACAACAGCACCCAAATCAGGATCTCTGCTGATGATGTTAGGATTAGGTTAGGTAAATATAGATAGAGATGTTCCTTCAGAATGACAGGCCCCATAACAATGCATCAATTCTGTTATCTAGGACTCACTATGGTATTTTTGGGAAGTAAAATAATCTTTCAGATCTTATTTCAGGTATAATATATTGTATTCAAATACAAGTAAAAGTAAACTTGTTATGAATATTGGAGGTTTCCTGACTGTTAAGAATTCTATTTTTGAGTTCTACATTTTCCCATCCTTACAGTATATCCACTTTTTTTAGTATTACCCGGATGGCATGGGGAAGTTACCTGGAGAACTAAAACCTTCCTTTGATCATACTCTGTGCAGATGTCCCCTGTATAGCCAGCTTTTGGACACAGCTATTGCCTTTTTGACAGAGAGAATGTAGTTTTTTTTTCTGTCTTAAAAGCATAGAGTAACATGACCTTCTAAAAAATCCACAAGAAAAGAAAGCACAATGAAACTCAG